AGTTTAATATCATACAAAGAAATTCTTGGTTGTAATTATTAGAATAATTAATATTTTTAAAAAGTTTTTTTTTTTGAATTTCTAATCAAATTAACAAAATAAAAACCCTCCAGTAACATATTTAATTAATTATAGCTATAGAATATGGAATTTATTTTTTAAAAAATGAAGTAATTTGTACATAATAATATCATTTATGTATATATTACATCCTTAATTTATTATCAATAGATAATTTTCTCATTTAACTTTACCCTACAATTACGACTCATTGATTTTATACGTAATAATAATTTTTTACATATTCATAAAACAAATTACGTGATTATATAAACTTATCTCATTCTCGTATATATCTATATCATATTATAATAATATTTTGTTTTACACCATACCTTAAATACATATAAGTATACTGTTATAATGTCAAATTGATTTGTTATAATGTAGAACGCGGAAAATAAATTTAAAACGATTAAAAAACATTAATTTTTATTGACAAAACGGATTTTTTTATATTATTATTGAATAATTATATTAAATATATGGTAACTACGGCTAGTTTTGAAGAGAATAATCTATAGCGTAAGCCCTCTCAGATCCTTTCTGATTTCCTCCTATAATGTATTACCAACCAACTATGCTTAGGAGTACATTGTTTTCAGGATTAAGTAATTGTAAGTTACACTGCCAAGTTTTTAGAAAACATTAGTCATTTGAGATAAGCAAAGAATTTTATTTTTATTTTAGCAGGGTAATATTTTTATTTTCACAATAGAAAATACTTAAGTAATCTGCAGAATTAACATTAAATCATTGTTTTCGGGGCTTTCACAATTTATATAATAAAGCGTATACAATGTAACAATGTATACTTTGTGGTGACTCACGTGATTTACCAACATATATTTTTGTTTGAACTGACGTATTCCAACCTATAATATTGTTTAACTGTTATAAATTTGGAATCGCATTCGCCCGTATGTACGCGTAAAATACTTTAATGTACACGATTGACAATAGTTGGTCAGCTTTTTTCCTTCTTTCGTTACAAACCGATTTTTTTATCTGTATTCATGCCCCGATCGCAGTCGGATCTAAATAAGTCGACGTTGTTTACATTATATGTTTATATAATATTATATGTGATGCAGCCCTGTACTCGATGTACCCTCATCTACATGGTTAGTCATAGTTGCAACCGCTTCGAGCAACTAACTGTAGTGTGCGCTTCATGAGTTATGCAATTACTGCACCACTGTTCTGTTTCTCTAATTGCGTATCCTATTGGTTTTCCGAAATGGTACACGGAATACCGGGAAGGGCTTTTCGACCACCGAGGGACGAAATCGTTTCATGTTTCGGTCCGTTTCTCGTATGCATCGTTTCAAAACCGTGCGTATAATTCGCATTGGCCTCATATCGGTTAAGTATTATGAACCTATTATTTTACCGTGTCTTGTCTATAATTGTACGTAATTTTACTAAAATCAATTTGGGGGGAGGGGTAGTACGGAATCCGATATAGTTTTCTTAGTACCGATGAAAATGCTGGTAGATTTTTAAAAACACCTGTCATACAAATTATAATATAAACTAATAATTTACTGGATAATCTGTAAGTAATATCCGTTTGTGATATTTTGTGATTATTTATATATGCCCCAAATGGACAAACAAAGAATATTGTTTACCTAAATGTGTTGGATTGATAATAAAGAATTTGGAAAAACATAAATGATATTCTAGGACAAATTATAAGATTTTTATTGCATTTTTGTTTTGGTGCTGCGAAGCGCACAAGGGTCGGCTATTAATTATTATAAAACTAACTCTAACTGTACAACCTACATGCTATTATTTTCGTTTGAAAATTCACATCGTTTATTTAAGGAATGTTGCTAGGGGACGGAAAAAAGAAAGAAGGTAACATCTGATTTAAGAATTTCAATTAGAGGAAGCAATAAATACACACGAGCGAAGTCAGGTTATTTAGCTAGTTTCCTATATTTATAATCTATGCAGAATTGTCAAAATAATTCGTTTCAGTTACGAGAATAGATACTTTTGTTTTCAATATCTGTACATAACACTTAACGGTGAAATTGAAAATCGCGAGTTTGAGATACTCGTTCGAAGCCTTTACTAAAATTATTGCATGTAACTGAAAACTTTTACGGATTTACTTTGCTGATAAATAACGTTGCTACCGAAACGGGAAAGATAAAACATTCCATCCGTGTATACCTTATATATTTATTAAACATTATTTGTAGGTACAAATAAGACCATCCTTTTAAATCGTTTTCATACGTTTTTTACATATTGTTCCACAACAAAAATTAAACAAATTCTTCCGTTTTTATTTATGTAGAACAATAAATTAATAACGCTATGTCATGCGTGCCGTGTAGAATAACTATTATAAACACGTATAACATTTTAAATTGTTGATACTTGTATCCAACTATATCGGGAATATAAATTAAATATACCACTAGGATTTGATAGATATTAAAACTATTATTTAAGCGCAGTTGTTTTGTAAATAGATGATATCAAATCTGCAGTGACGGCGCAACGTTTAGCAGCTTTTTTTTTTTTTTTTTAGGGATAATAGGATTTTATTAAAGCCCGTTACTCTTTTTTTACAAGAATAAACCTAAAGCAAATTTAGCGAAAATAATTTTCTTAAAAAAAATCATATTTTCCTCTTTTTGCTGACAATTGTTTTTTGAAATAGTACATTGTGACGTTATCAACTTAACAAGTTATCAAGTTATAACCATCCCAAAAATGATTTTCTTATTATATCTTAGTACTATGTACCATTTATTTAGCAATACTCAAGATACTTATAGTATAATCTAAAATATTTAAGTATTTTTCTAAGTATATTTAAAAATTAATAATAACCTATCATAAAAGATAAATACGAGTAAAAAAAAAAAAAAATTAATCAATAATAATAATATTTATCTCTTCCATTTAAGTTTTTATATTTTTTCCAATAATTGATATTGAAATGAATTCTTTGATTAAAACCTTGTCTATTTACCAGCAAGAATACAGCATAAGTCCATACGATATTATTAATTTTATTTTTTTTTTTAAATTGAAAATAAATTAATTATTCAAGTGATCATTAAAACATTTAGTGTTTCTTACTTAATATACATTATATTGAAATCGATAACTCACTAACATCAAGTTCTATATAATTTCTTAAGTTGTGTCAACCCTAAAAGACGTAGGCATTGTGATATTTTAGGTTGAAAAGTTGTCGTTATTCGGTGTTCTAGCTTGTAACCTCTTTTCCTTATTCAAAGCGCTCCGACTCTTCCTTATGGTCTGTAAATCTATTTGATTTTTGTGTATTTTATTTTTTCGACATTTTAAATTAAAGTTGTGTACACTTGATTTTATCTTTTAAATATTAATATTCAATTTTGTTATATATATTATATATATTGTCATAATCATTCTTATCAGTTTTGTGACTTCTTAGTCCGATACACTAAAACCGGCTTGATTTGTGATTTGTTATATAACATGTCCTTCACTAAAAAAAAAAAAAAAAATCCAATAGCCATATCTTACATGTAAGACGTTGTACATTCGCAAATAAATGTCAGTCTCCTTTTCGTCTCAAGGATGGTAAAAACAATTCTCAGATCGACTTTCGCTGCTAGACGACGAAATAAATAATATCGGCCATATCAAAAACGGGACTCCGACTTTAACCTGACACCCACAGATTGGTGTAGCAACCCTTCATTAAACTCGTCTATATCAGAAACTCATACTGAAACTCAATGACAGTATTGTCGACATTTTCAAAAATAAAATCCATAATATAAGTTTAAATCACTCAAACTATGTTTGTTCCTTTTACCCATCAGTAAACAGCAGGTAAGTAACAAGTATTTCTCATGATAAAATTACTAAACAAAGACTTTTATCTTCGTTCATTTTGTATAAAAAAACAAAATAATACGTCATTTTTGTAAAGATTTTAACTCTGGTATTCATATATATTTTGTCGGAGTGTGACAAAGGTATAAAGTAATCATAACTAGCCAATAGTGAGTGATGGACAAAGAAAGAAAATTCACTACATTTAACTTCGATTTATTCGAACGAATTTGATATTTTTAAAAAAAATAACTAAATTTTTTTAATTTCCGATTATTAATTAAAAAGCGGAATGTAAATAAATAAACAAATAATGCATACACAGAAATAAATAAATGCTTAATCTGAAGTATTATTATAAATATAAAGTACTACTGGTTTTGAATTAATCGTCAGGTATATACAGTTAATAAAATCGCGATCGAGTATCAAAAAATATTATTCTTATTATATTATTCTTAAATATTATTGCTAAAAGTTAATAAAAACTCAATAATGGTATAAATGAAAGTTGTGAACAACATGTAATATTTAATTACATCATTTGCGTATTTCTCATCCGAAAAAATATTTTTCATATCACTCAGAACTATAAGTAATAGTTATGAAAAACAATTTTTATTTATAATAAATACTAGCGTAAACTTTTTTTTACAGGAAAAACGTTTTCATTGGTTATTTTCTGTAAATACATCTATTCAGTAAACCTTTAATTAATTTACCACTATTCAAATAATGATTGTTAAAATCATGTTCTTATATTTTTATAAGATTTAAAATATAAGATTTTTACGGAAAAGTGATTATTTGAATATGAATGCCTAATGAGTTACAATCCAGGAGAGAAGTCATATTTTATTTTGATTATGGTTATTTTATATTAAATAATCTAAATGGTATATCAAATAAAAAAGTTAAAATTTTAACGGCATTAGAGTTTAAAATTTTGAATTTCGGAATAATGTTTAGGAATGTATTGGAATACTAAAAATAACAAACAGTCTGTTTAATTATAAAAATTATATTATTCTTATTAATTTATTGAAAAAAATATTAAATTAAAAATATCAGTGAACAATAAATTTTTATTTCTAATATACAAAACTATAATCTAATAATTTAAATTAAAGCTAATCAATGTTCATATATGGAAGTAGTTTACAAAACGAAATATTTTATTACTTAATTAATCATTTAATTATAAATATAACAATAAGTATAGTTGAAAATAAGATGAGGAACCAAAAGGGATGCTAAGCCTCTCCCAAATGGTTTACACTATGGAAATCTGTAGACTTTATAGCTTTCCCAAAAATAAATGATAACTATAATACAATATTGTACATTTGTAAGCACCCTCTTAAATCTCTAACAATATTTGCGCTTGTGACAATAAGAAATAGTATAGGTTTTCTCGATATCGTTTCCTAATAAATATAATTTCTTTTTCATAAAATTAATAATAGTATACCCATATTTGTAATGTTATCGTTTCAAATATTGATCTTTTTTATTTAGACTTTTTCATCACGGTTACACAGCGTGTTTGTACATATTTGTTACTTCGTGGAAAATATTATATCGAATAGACGACCAAACTCAAACCAAACAATAATAATAATAAATTGTCTTCCACTCATCACTGTCGTGCGGGTGTACGTTATGTAAGTATACAAAGCGTAAGTGCAGTTACCGTTGTTATAAAACTTTTAATCCGCATACAGAGAATAAACAGGTTCACGATGAATTCGTATTGCCGTGAACACACCGCCTTACTAGTCCAACGTTTTCGACACTTTGTTGCAGTTATATACACGTCGTCGCCTCTTACGAAACAATACATCGTAGGGTAATAATAATAATAATAATAATAATCATAATAATAGTAATACTGAAAATAGTAGTCATAGATAGGCGCTGTTGTACGTATATTAAGTTATTGTGTTGTTGCTACAGGACTTAAATTATTAATGACGTCTGCGGTGCGCTTTCGTCGAAATGGAAAATTATAACTTACCATAATGGGAAATCGGAATGTAATAATCTAACGTCGTGCATGAATACAGCTGCAGTAGTACACACGTATAGAACATGATTAAAATATCACGTATCTTCGCGTGTCTTGCGCGGAGTTTAATTATCTCTAAATTATAATAACAAATTATACTACGTAGAGCGAATATGGGTGGTGTTGGTGGTGGTGGTGGTGAATGTACAAGATAAGTGATCGCTAATAACGTTTCACGCTAAAAGTTTCGTTTACCAATGATAGATCATATCATACCAGTGTTTACAAGGATGTGCTGACGTCAATCCATTTGGTGTACTCGGATATTCTGGTGTACAGATCGGGAAATGCCGATTTTACCGCGCAGCCCGTCACACCGTAACTGACAAGACCGATTAAAACATTCTGTCCCGTGTCCCGTTCCACGGTCAGAGGGCCACCGCTATCTCCCTGCGAATAAAACTGAATGATAATACACCAACGCCGGAAAAATAACAGTTTAATCAGTGTGAAATAAGACTAGTCAAGTTAGTAGTAATTTACCCAATCGATAAGAATATACGGTTTCAGATGAATGTAAAAATTCCCATTATTGGTTATAGGCTATAGGTATATACGTCTATAGACGAATAGTAAAATATCTGATAAGTCCATACGCCTACGATGTACTACGACATTGATTAATAATAATTCTATTTCCCTTTTTTCGATCAACTTTATGATTTGTATTTACTTAGGTATAATATTAGTTTTATACTTTAATACACTTCTGAATTGTTAATATAAATCTTTTACATCGACTTTAACTAATAGTATTGAGCGTTATAAATTATAGAGAAATTCACCGGAACTTAGAGTTCCTCTGTAATGTTTATTACTTTGTAAAATAAACCGATATTGTATGTATAAAATTTTCAAGTGTACATATTGCATTTTGAATAGTTTTAAAACATTATAACTATTCTTCAAATTTTATTCATTTTTCAATATAAACTAATTATTTTAATTAATATATATTTTTATGCATAACATTATTCAATTACATTTTAGTTTTAAACTTTGAACAACTGAACTAGTAGAACTTCCTTCCATTCTGATTTCAAATATATTTATTATATTTTCTCATTAATCCTACTCATCAATACATGTGTGTATATATATATATCTAATTAATAAATGTTAAAAGCTACTTAAAAATGACAAAAATTATTTTGATATTGTTACAGACTTTTGAGTTAAAAATACAAACAGTAACCATTCAAAAGCATGTACACTATTAATAGTATTATTTTCTTAACTGCGTATAAGGCATAAACTATACTTCAGACACTCGAAAAATTGACTAAATAATTATGAAATTATAAATTTTTAGTAACAAACTAATAAATAAATTCTTTAATTTTTAGACCATGTTTTTTAATATTATGTAATCTTCATTAAAAAAATATTTCTGTCACTCTTCTCATAGTGGAATTAAAAACAATTATTACAATTAATAAATAACTCATTAGAAATTTCATATTTTTATACAACTAAATAATTTACTCTCGTGTAATTATTCAAAACTTGAACCTAAAATCACTCGATTTACATCATATCATACTTTATGTATATATGCTACCAGGAAATATGATAATAAATTTAGATACTGATAAAAGTTAGCCAATAACAATAATTATTAATCTAAATAACTAAACAGCAGTTTATAGTTATCTTCATTAATTCTCAATGAAAGAAAGAAATAGTATAAAAAAAATTTAAAAAAAGTTGAAACCTTATTATAATTGTTTAATAATTTTTACTATCGCAAAACAGCTGTTACACGTTTAAAATAATAATTGTGTGCACTGTGTGTACTCTGCCAGAGTCCAGTTGAACAAATGCATTATATTTTCGGTAGGAGTCAAGACTTTAAAAAAAACTGCCTTTTAAACTGTGTGTATTGTACGTAATCAAACTTTAAATAACGCTTTAAATATTACTTAACAACTTGCTGTTGCGTAATAAAGAATTCGTAATCATAATAGGTAGGAATGGATGAGTAAGTACGTTAGCGTGCATTTATAGTTTAATTATGAAACTTATATGTTAGATTTATTTTAAAAAATATACATATGATTTTTGCTCCGGGAAATTTAACCATTCAACCGCGGTTAGTAATTGTATCATTATAACAATAACTAGTTACAGATTACAATAGATATATAAATTTAGATCCAATAATAATAAATACGAAACATGGTATTATAAGTGAAGTTGTACGTTTAAAATATTTCAATACTACTTAATGTAGTCTGCGGTTAAATTAAAGCAGTAAAGTTAAAGTTAAAGTAACCTAAAGTACTCTTGATAAAAAGATGATGAAAACGATGATAATAATTGTCAATTTCCTGAATAATCATATTTTCCTTTTCCGGTAACACACACCCATTATTACTATCAAATAAATTGTACCTAATTTATCTATATTATAAAGAATACAAGGGAAATTATATATTTTTATAACTTTACAGATATTTGAGTACTATAATTTATTAGTTGTATTCAAGAAGAAAAAAACCTTTTCTACAACGCAGTTTGCATACATATGATCAAACTGGTTGAATTTATGTACATCTAAGAATACGGTATGATTTTAACTGGTATTTAGGAAATAAAAACTTATTTACAGAAGTATTAACTATTAAATTATTAAAGTAATTAAAGCAATGAAAAAATCAATTGAAAAGGATGAATTAACAAATAAAATGGTATTATATTTTATAAATAAATCATTTACATTATGCCATTACGAAGTATCATAATTAGATAAAATGAATACGATTAAATGTTTTGATACTGAAATTATAATTTAGTTTCATAAATAATAAACTCAAGATTATTTTGAATTGTTTTCATGATTTTTCTATTAGCTGATCATCTCATAGCAACTGTTATATGGGAGATACATTCTAGTCGATGTAACTATTTTGCTCTCACAAAATCTTCAAATATTAAATAAATATTCAGTATTTATTAGATGCACGTGCATAGTTTAATAAGAAGGGAAAAAATAATCTTTAAGCATATTTTATTAGTCAACTTTAATGCTTAAAATATGTTACGTTGAGGGAAAATTAAAAAGTTTTATATGGATATTTTTTTTAAGATGAATTGTGATTTGAAAAGTTTGAATTTCAAATTAATAACAGTTGTTTTAAAAGTTTGTACCAATAATAAAGTTAAATAAAAAATATATATGAACTCTACATATAATTATTAATTAAAGTCTATTTTTTTTCGTTATTATTCCACCATAGCTTCTTTTTGGTATTCAACCCTTAAGGTTGGTTTTACAATTGGATATTCGCTCTCCACTCTTCTCTGTTCTTAGTTAGCCTTTTCAGTTTGGTTTACCTTGTTAGTCAAGCCTCGGACATCCTCTGTCCCTTTTACCTTCAATTATCCCTTCTATTACTCTATAGGTTAGTTTATTTTCGTGTCTCAATATATGACCCATCATATTTCATCGTCTTGTTCTGATGGCTTAGAGTATCTCTCTTCGTTCCTTTATTTCATTGAGTATGTTTTCGTTGGTATGGTGTTCTATCCAACTCACTCTCAGCATCCTTCTCCAACACAACATTTCGAAGCTTTCAAGTGTTCGTTCTGTCTTATTTAATATTCATGTTTCGCCACCATAGAGTGCCACACTCCATACATATACTTTTATGGAACGTTTTCTCATCTTAATACTCATGTTATTTGAACATAGAAATTTTTTCTTTTTCATAAATACTGACTTTGCCTGTGCGATTCTGGATCTTATTTCTATGATGTATCTTCCATTTTGGTTGATTATATTGCCTAGGTATTTATAATGACTTACTTGTTTAAGCAGCTTTTGGTTGTTTATTCTACGGATTCGTTCCTATTTTTGCCAGTTGATCATCAAATGATATTTTTGGAAGCATCTCGTCATTTCTTCCAGTACTTTTTCCAAATCATGCTTATTATTTGCTAGCAGTGCAATATCGTCAGCGAATCTTAAGAAGGATATTTCGCCGCTCACTATTATACCTACCTCGTATATTATTTCTGTGTAATGTTTCTCTTATTTTTTTTAATAGACTATTCGATATATATATATTAAATATAATTTGCGAGAGTGGACAACCTTGTCTTACACCCAGCGGCGGATCGGCTAACAATTTCGGTCCGGGAAATTACCACATGATCGGCTCACCATTCAATAATAATAATTGTCCATAAAAGTCTCTTTTATTCATAGATTAAATTATCGTAGAATTGTTTATATCACATTTGCATTAGGTTTTTATCATAGTCTTACGATTAAATACAATATATTTAAATACATTATTTTTATAAAATAATTTTTAATCCAAGTACATTAGCCTAATGTTATAATACGACCACCGGCCCACCAGGAATTTTCTCAGTATCCCGGTGAACCAATCCGCCACTGCTCTTACACTCTTCCTAATTATCATTGTTTCTTTTTTGTCCATTACTTTTATTGTAGCTGATTGGTCTTTTTTTAAATTGAATATTATTCTTCTATACCTATAATCAGCTCAAATTCCTTCAAAAGTATAGAATAGTTCTTTCCACGGTATATTATCAAAAGCATTTTCCAGATCTATAAACGGTATAAATGTTTCTTCATTAAATTCTATTTGTTTTCCTATCAATATTCTTAAGCTTAAGATTGCTTCTGTAATACATTTGTTCCTTCTGAACCCGAATTGATCATCGCTTAATTATTTTTCTATTATGTTCTCGATTCGGGTGCGTATTATTTTTATTAGGATTTTTGCTGTGTGTGCCATTCAACTTATTGTTCTGAATTCATTACATCTATCAGCCATTGCTTTTTAGGTATAGGTATTATAATGCTCTCCTTGAAATCGTAGGGGATCTTTCCCGTAGTGTATATATCATATGTCCATGGTTTCTTTGGTTTCTTAGGCTCTGGTAAATTTCTTTTCAAAGTGTTGCTGGCAAAGTGTTCATTGGTATCACTTATATTTCATTGGTATCACTTGGTATAACTTTTTCATTGATTTAGGATGTGTGGGCTGTATTTTTTTATTATATTTTAGCATTCTTAAATCATATTTCCTTGTTTTTTGGGTTATAATTGTTAGTTTATTATACACTAAATTACATTTTATCATGAGAATATTATGGTCGCTATTTACGTCATTGTCTGGTTACGTTTTGCATCTATGTCGCTGATTTCTGAACCTCTTTCTCGCTATGATATACCTAGTCGATTTGATATCTTCAGATAAAACCTGGCATTTTCCAAGTGCATCTTTTTCTGCGGTGAATATTTTGGAATGTATTGACTATGATCATATCATGTTGCCTGCAGAAGTCAACAAGGCTGTCTTCTTTTTCATTTCTAGTTCCTAGTTCGAATGATCCTACTTCTTGGCCTTCTGCACCTTCTCCTACTATCTAATTCCAATCTCCCATCATTATTAAATTATCTTCTCTTTTTGCTAGTTTTCAAAGCTCTTCTAAGTCAGAATAGACCTCTCCTACAGTATTTTCTTCTGCATCTGATTTGGGGAAGTACACTTGAATTAGTACAATATCATTTGGTTCAGCTATAAGCTTAATTAATATAATTTTTAGTTATAATTAAATAATTATTGTTATTACATTAAAAATAATTTAACTGTTTTTACTTTGAACTTATATTAAGCATTTTTTTTCTTTTAACACAATTTTATTCTTTGGAGAAAATGTTACAAGAGTGGTCTCAATTGAAACTAATTTAAAACTAATTTAAACTATTTATTATTAAAAAGATAAAAATAATGTATTTTTAATCTGAATACACTCTATGAGTCCATAATACATATTGTATTTTAAAAATGTTATTTATTTCTATCGGAATCGCATTCAATCTCAAAAAATATAATATTTTTAATTATGAATTTCTAAGTCTCGTTACTGAAAATCATAAAAAATACCTCAACATAACATTTTTTAGATTAATTATAAATAAATCATTTAAAATTTAAAAATCAATATAACCTCATCAAAGTTACAAAAAAACTTCAATAAGTCGCAAAACTCTTGTTAAATACGTATGTGCATAATGTAATCGTAATAATGTTATTACTTTGGTATAATTGAAGTATTAATAGATTAATTTTAATACTTACATAACTACCTTTGTAATCTGTTTTAAATTAAATTTTAGTTACACGGTTTAGCCCTTCATGAACTTTACGGTTTTTTTGATATTGTTTAGCTATAACTATTAATTTAATAAATTATAAAAATCCCATGTACATTTGTACAATACATATTATTATTGTGTAAACTACGTAATATTTCATATTTTTTCGCATTATGTTTGGAAAGGATATAATCTGTTGCATTTGGTACGTATTGTTGTACAAGCGTAGGGCTTTGAAAAATAGTGAAGTGTTAAACGCAGTTGTGTGTACGTTCACATACCAAAAATTATTAAACTGTTCATCAAAACTACATTTTTAATAAAAACTTCGGTACACAACGCCATAGTACCAAGTACCATAAATTCTGAAACGGACGTGTATTAATGAAACGAGCGGCCATAAATTATGGACGTGATCGGGGTTATTTTGGGGTATTTTCAGTTTATTTTGATTAGATTGAAAAAAAATATACATAATACATATACAAAAAACAAAACCATTGACCAATAATATTTGATTGAACAACAATGAGAGCAACGTTTGAATGATTTTGCGGACATTCGAGTGCACTGGTTATGAAAACAGTTTATAGTAGTCGGGCGTCGTTTGTTCGTCACAAACGTACGTATTTTATATATTATACTGTTTTAATGTAACTAAAAGTTGGAAACCTCTAAATTTTTAGTGGAGGCTTACCTGTGAAAACGTTCAATCATCAAATATAACAATCTAATATAAATAAATATATATATATACGAGTATATATGTTAAATTTAAACATTAGTTTCTAATTATCACGTGTCATCGCTTAACGTGTTTTTTTCATTCGAAGATTAGATACATGTTTGGTTGTATTCGAAAGGAGAACGTGATAAAAAAAAATAAAGTGACGATAAGGTATATTATTCCGCGAAGGGGAAAAACGCTGAGCTATTTGTATAACTAACGTATTCCTTCCATCATTAAATGACTGCTTTATATTTTTATATTTATTTTCCGGGAAAAGGGGGTTTTGGTTATTACCAATAAACTAAAAAAAAAAGTATCAGATTCACGGTAAACATATTTCCAGAGTACAACCAAATAAACATGCCCAAATACCTATTATTATCTTGTTCGTTTTATTATGTTTATTTAATAATTCAAAATGCAATTTTAGTCTGTTTAGCTTAACGAAAAAATATAATTCAATTCTACTGTTAAAATAATTAATATACTCGCAGAAAAAATCGAAAAAATACCACCAATCTTACATATTTATTCCAACACCTGATATCCTTGTAATAGAAGGTGGATTTTTTAAGATTGCTTAAACATGTTGACATTAATGCTTTGTTTACACGTGACGAGTGCTTGGCCGTGTCACTCGTTATGTTGCTCGGTCTAATACTGAAATTGACCGAGTCAGCGTTTACACGTATTTTATTTGCTTGGCCGAGTGACACATAAGTTCACTACACGATCTACTCGGTTGGCGGTTTATACACGCCGAGTACAGTCAATTTTGGTAATGGCGATAGTCGCTCGCCCGAGTGAATAGAAACGGTTTCTATTCACTCGCTCGCTCATTTTACTGGGCCGAGTTCTAGGCCAAGCACTGGTTTCTTGAGTTCACACGGAACAGTGTTCGATCAAGTTGACTCTCTCGGCCGAGTAAAGAAGGCAAGTGTATAGGCAATTATGATTTAAAAATTTAAGTCCAAGTACTCGAAAACTAATTATTTGCGTGTAAGTCTACATTAAATATACATTAATATTTTGTTATCAAAGGAACATTAGAATTATAATTAAGTTTATATTATTTTTTGATTTAGATTATATTCATCAAAATTTCACTGTTTTAATGCAAAATGTGCAATAGTGATTATTGATACGTTTTAAACTGTACCATAAGAGAATAAAAAATGTTTGATATTTTTTTGCGTTTAAATTTATATTTCGTTTTTTAATTTACATAAAAGCATATTATCGAAAAATTTAATAACATTTTCATCGGAAAAAAGATTTATGTATTTTATTTATTTATTTATTTATTTCAGACGATATCATCGTACTGTTCAATATATATGTATATAAGTATATATATTTGAAAATAATGTACTACCGCGTTTTACCCCTGATGTGTTGCGGAAAACGTCGGCCGTTTAGTTTTTACCGTACAGTATCCCCCTACGTTCCTCGTGCACGTAATAAGTAATGACTAATAATAACGCAATAATACGTCAAGTGCGACGTAGTTACGTGTCTAGACAGTGAACTTACAAAGCACGTCCCTTGCAGCGACGGGGCGGCAGCGCACAGCATGCCCAGGCCTACGTGATCTTCGATGACGCGGGAACACTGGAAATTCGACAAGACTTCCACGGCGATTTTCTGCAGCGTAGGGCTGGGGTCGCCAAATGGGAACGACGTGACGCCCCATCCCAGGACAGTGCCCTTTTCGCCCACGTACGAGCCGCCTGCTGGTAGGAGGAAAAATTAAAAGATTATACCAATAACATAAGTTGTAAGTTAAAATGTTTTATGGCTGTACAATAGGGTGGTCTTTATTTTTGAACTTACGAATTTTTGATTTCTTACCCCCTCATTTTGTTTATTACTACAAGAAAGTAATTCGGGTTGAATTTGTTCATGATTACTCACCCCTTTCAAGTGCTCCAAGAGGGTTGAATATTAGTGAAAAAGGGTTGTTTTGTCATTGTTTAACTATATTCAAAAAAATATTGCATTTATCTTAAAAATGTATAAAACATATATTATAGATATTTATATTTTTAATAAAAAATATATTTATACAATTTCTCATAAATCTATTATTTCCCAAGAAAAATGATAAAATATCGATTATTTTAATGATTTAAAAAAAACGATTTTTTACAATTATTCAAATATATTAAAATAATGGTCGATGATATGACAAAATATCTTATGTACAATTGATAAAGATTTTGATTTCCTAAAAAAAGTTAATTAGCATAAATTTCATTGGATTGACTGTTCTATCGTAACAATCGAGTTAACGTAAAAATTTAATGTATCTAAAATGTTATCATGTTAATTCAAGAGTTTTATTATCTATACACGTTTTAATAAAGTACAGTATATACAATTTCTTATAAATCTATTACTATCTATTATTTATTATTTCATAAGAAAAATTATATAGATAATTTTGAATATTTTATTTATTTAAAAAAATCAATTTTTTATTATTATATTATTATTTTTATACTTTTGTTATTATTTAGAGCTTATACAATTATATACATTTTTAATATTTGTATTTTTGAAACACTGTGTAAATTGAAAGTGTCAAGCTAAAATATTACTGTTGTAACTCAATAGTTTTATAAATAACACACATTTTAATATAATAATACATTGTATACGAGTAGATAATATTTTGTACCTAATAGTTATATCGTAATCGGATAATATGTTACATGTTTTAAACATTTTTAAGATAAATGCAATATTTTTTTTGAATATAGTCAAAAAATGACAAAACAACTCTTTTTCACTAATATTCAACCCAACACGTGAAAGGGCTGAGTAATCATGACAAATTTAACACGAATTACCTTATTATAGTAATGAAAAAAATGTGTGGGTAAGAAATCAAAAATATTAAAAAAAAATTTCTTCATCTATAGCTAAGGATCACCCTATTGTACATCTATCCCTGCCGTCCTACTGCGCGCCGACGAGCCACCGGAGAAGCACGTAACAAAGTATAATATCCGTGTACGCGACTACGCTGTGCCAGTAGCACGACAGTTCCTCGGAGAACGAATAACGTCATTTCGTATCATAGAAATCAATTTAAATAGGTTCGAACACGTTTTAATACGGGTAGACTCTTCAATAGCGTATCACGCAAAGAAGAGCATCAAACATCATTCGTTTTGCGATATGGATAAAATCGTGGTCATAACATGCTAATTATTTCTAACAATATCGAAGAAAAGTGTCAAATGTGCAATACAAGTCTACTTTACATAAGAAGTACACTACTTTTTTAAGTTGAGACGCCCAATTTCTATCTGTAAATTTATGTGCTTCAGAAAAAATGATTTCAACGATAATTTAAAATTATTTTTGCGTTACATTTTTCTCAACAAAAATATTTTTGAGTATTTTACTCTCATTTTTTTAGCTGTTATATATTTTAATGACATAAGATAAACCGCAAATGACTGTTACTTATTTGCGTTCATTTAAACTTTTAAAACTTATTAATAACCTGCCATGCTTAGACATACTTATATTAAACATTCATCTGTTAAGTATCAAAATATAGTATACTCTAAAAACATCCTATTTCGGAACATGAAATTATAAAAATATACGGTGATATAGTATGAAAATAAATTTAAAAATCTAAAAGATTATTACGATAAGAATATAAATAAATGCTATTTTGATTTTCATAAAATTTGTCAAATATAAATTATAATAAGCTATATAGTTAACAATAATCTTTTTTAACAGTCAAGAAAGTGAGTGATGAAAAAATTAATAAAAGAGTCATCTAGCGTATACTTATAGTTTTATTTCTGCTTTTTATTGGTTTTAAATTATATATATATATATTAGATATAATACGTTGTTTAAAAAAAATTGTATTAATGTTGTTTAGGTATTAAAAAATTTTCAAAACTGAAGATTAAAAATGTTGTTATAAATTATACTAGACGAACCTATTGAACAAATTTAAAATCTCTGTACGCTACATTCTTACGTATAACGGGCTCGGTCATGAGAAAGTAATATTTTTATTATTATTATTATTATTATTATTATTATTATTACAATCCGAAACTTGTTGTGACGTGATAATATTATAAAAACCAAGTAAGAAACGTTACTGTATGTACATGTAATATTATATTATACGATTGACGATGAGCTCTATTGATCAGATGCGCCAACAATTTGGTTATTATATTATGCTACATGTTGACGGATAACGACAGTGTAACTCGTGTATGTGTATGCCCGTGTGCGTGTGTATAACTTGGTGTGTTTTGTAAACCCGATGCAACCGTTATTTGTGATATAGTGGGGTACCAGGGTATGGTGTGTATGCTTGTAGTGTGTATAAACTTAAAATGAAATCAGGATATTCGTCCTGTTCATAGTAATTAAAGCTCCGCGTATATATGAAATATATGAGATTTGTTTAGCTGTATATACCCATATATATTCAACTGTAAATACATCCTGCACGAATGATCATGATTCGAATAAGATTTATTTTTTTGATTTTCGAAGGGACCACTCCGCTGAATAAAAATAAATGTTACCTCCGCCGGCATAGTCATTTCATATCAAATATGTACATTTTTCTGGCTCTGTGATTGTATTTTTGCATAACACACTCCACGAATAGATTAAAAATGTTCATAGAACACGAGTGTCTCAAGAATTCATGGTTAAATTGTAAATTTAAATGATTGTATTGTATTATTGAAAATATAAGAATGTCTATGACGGAAAATTGCCCTCCTGTCCATAGCTAACAAATATATTAATTTTTAACGAAATTTAAAATCGACTCATAAATGACCCAATATTTAAATTGTTTATAACTTTTCAAATTTTTATTTTTTGGATATATCAAATTATATTAAAAATAGTCAAATGATAATTTTTTATTTAATGACACAATTATTTTTTATCAAACACTAGTTTTAATTCATTTTTTTTAACAATACAATTTGATATGAATACTATAAGAATAGTATTCTTAATGTATCATGATTTTTTTTTTTTTTTTTGTATCTATCTCGTAATTTATAATTAAAGATCATAAAATAATATAAACATTTAAAAATACACCTATTAAATAACACTAAAAATGTTTTGATAATTGATTGTCCCCTCCTTTGATGAAATGTCTAGGTACGCCTTTCTAGGTGACAGGATATCTTTGAACCTACGGATTACATGTATGAAAATAATTTCAAAGAAAGTTGTTCAATCATGTAATATAAGTACTTACAGTGTATCATCAGTACCTACCATGACTGTATGTGTTTAATAAAGGTACAAGTCAGTGGTAAATAATAATAAACAGCTCAAATTTTAATATTTAACAAAATAATAATCGGTAATGTCAGTATATCAATCTACATATTATGTAATAGGAATTACTTTCATTTAAGAAACGAACAAAATAAATTGTCTTACATTTTACCTTTGTACTTAATTGTGTGCTATATTTAGATTAGAATTCTAAATGGTTCGATTGTGGTCAATTTAATATACTACGGAGTCGCGATTATTCGAACCCTGATAACTCGAATTACATTTTAGGTCACTTCAAATGTAATTTAATTATGTTAATTTGTTAGTAGCTCAAAGTTTTTCTTTCCCTTCTGATTCGATCTACGTGACTATACTGTTACATTGAACAATGATTTTGGCTATAATAATTTCGGAGGAAAATAGATTTAAAAAAATTTAAATGTTCACCTTGACTGCGTACTAATTTGATTCTTTTTTTATCTCATCCTTCAAATTATGACAGACGTTGGAGAAATGTATTCGATTTTTCCGAATTATTTGGTACGATGTAAAACGGTTCTTTCAATTTTTAATATTAGATTAAATTATATTTTATAATATATATTAAAATAGTGTGGCAACTCTTAACTCGCATACCTTGATGTAATTACATTTTTTTAACGATTTTTAAAACCAATTGCTATTTTTTTTCAATCTCGAATAATAAACCCACAGAACTTATTCAAAACACAACATTATAATATATTATGCACACCGATTTTCCGGTAGACTGACTACAAGTCAATTTGAATGAACGAAACCACATTACAAATGATTTTCATCAAATATAAAAAGCCATAGCGTATGACGCACATACTCACACACTAACACAAATCACATGTAATTGAATTTAAATCATAATAGTTTTAGTAGCGTTCGTTTAGCTCATAATAATGATTTACCTAGTGGTTTTATTCCCCCTCGAAATGTAAATGATGACTAGCAATAATTAGTAACCTTTTACTATAAACGTACACAAAACCATGCGATTCCGACCGATCGAATTTCAAGATTTCCCCATGTTCTTAGAAAAAATAAAAACAAAATTTACATTAATAATATATGCACCAAACTATTTTTCATTATATTAGAATTATAATTGTTGGAGTATATAAACCCGAATTTCTTGCAAAACACAATTAAAATAATTTGTCGAATAAGGAAATTATTATTCTGGGGTTTAATTTTGAAAATTCGAAAAATATTATATTTTAAAATTATACACTACTGTGTTTATTCTAAATTTGACAAATTCAGTTAGTTATTTCAAACAGAGCAAGAACAATAGATAATAATTGTAAAACTCAGGGGCGCAATTTCATTGAAAATACTGGGGGTGCTGAAGCCCTTCTATCTTTTTCATGTTACTCGCAAACCGCAAACTCGCAAACACTCGCAAACCGTATAATTCAACAGTTACTAAAATATTTAGTAAATATATAAATACTTCTAAATTTAAATTGTTCACTATGATTTTATATTTTTATTGTGCGTATAACGAATTACCTGTCTGTAAACACAAATGTCTTATCACATGATCACTTTTAGATTCTGTTTAAAGCGAAGGATATTATGGTTTTATAATGATGTTTGTATTTTATTTGTTAAACACTTTTTCGGATAGAAATATTGGTCCAAAAGTTTTTTTTAAGATCTTTTTTAGATTTTAAATTGACATGCGGTGGTACTTTAGATAGGTAATATTTTTAAATCTTAATAGTTTTTCTAGACTTGAGAAAACAACTGTCCTGAAATGGTAAAAATACACTGTAAATAAGACTCGCATTTCAAATTTTAGTTATTTAACCATAATTTCAAAAGTAATAAGGCTAAAAACTTGAAACTTTTACCCTATAGCAAAGATTTTTTTTTTCGTATTGTATAAAAATTTATATATTTATACAAAAAAACTCAAAAATTATTATGTTTTTTTATACATATGAGTTATGAGTATTGAAATGTAAATTAACATACATACATTTGGGGGTGTTAATTTCGAAAATGGGGGTGCTAAGCACACCCAAGCCCCTCCCCCCCAAATTGCTCCAATGGTAAAACTCAAATGAAGAATCGCATTTTTTGGTATTGATATAAGAAAAAATAAACTTAAATGGTTTTATATCACAGATGATTGTCGAATAATATTAAACACCAACTTCAACATACATCACACTTATTTAGGTGTTAACGCTGATCTATCACTCTACCAAAAAGGCAAATCCACCATTATTCATGTCACTTATAGTTTTTGGGTAAACAATTTTTTATTCTTACAAAAATTGAACTTCTTTTAACTTGGCCTGCATACACTAAGACTTAATTTAAATTATCGATCTCAGTCGTGTTTTTTGGAACAAAACGTGTTTTTACAAAACTGTAGACGATATCCGCTTAAATAATTTCAATAAGAATGTTTGTATCTAGTTATTTCGATCCAGAATGGAATCGTATGGCGTAAGGTAGTGTTGAAATCGTAGCTAATCTTACATAATGTAAGATGTATATTATTTTGTCTTCCGTTAACTTCAGATGATTCACATGCTCTACGATTTTTCCGGATTAAAATTCAGGGATCGAATACGAAGGAGGATATAACGATTACTTCTTTGAAATGTAGGTTCACAACCAGTATACATAATATACTACTTCTGTCCTATAAATATTGCATTCGATTAGGTAACCTTTTTTTCTATCTGTTTGTCTGTTTGTACCGGAATTCGGGTTAGCACTATGTGAGCATTACTTTTCCCATAGATACACCATTTATTGAACAAACATCGTAGCAAATAATTTAATTATCTGAACCACTCCTTTCCCCCGTGACGGTCAAGGAGCACACCTATTACATTACCAACCATTTTCAGATCTTCGACCAAAAATTATATTCAACACTCTTTTAACATCTATGAATACATGACCCGTAGACTAAACTATCCAAACACAGGTTTTTTTCTACTCTCTGTGACAATAATAAAGGACGAAAAATGTGTTCACATTATGTATGCTTGCTCCCACTCAAAAGTATTATTTGAACCACGAGGTTGTTCGGGCAAAGGATACAAGATCTAACATAACCTTATAGCTCAGCCCAACTTGTTAGAGTACGGTCTAGTTTAGACCAGTCCAGTCCGGTCCTCTTGTCTAAAAAGAAAAAAATCAGTCTGGTCCGTTCGCCTTCAGTTCAATAAGATAATAATGGTCTTATTTTTATTATGATTTTACATAGTAAAATAATACGCAACACAATAATATGTTATAACTCAGATTATGTTTTGAAATAAAATAACTCGTCGCATTTATATGATTTTATTGGTGACTAAATATTTACTTAATATATAATATAGATCCAGAAATAGAATTCGAGTTAATGATTGTAAATGTTTGTGAATTGTCTTAACTGATTTGTTTTTTTTTTCCAAATTTATACTGTATACATTGTGAACAATAATAGTTTGATCAAATCATTTAATAATTATATGGTTTTATATTTTATTTTGAACATTTTATGTCTTAATGTAGACAGTCAATTTAGTCAGTTTTAAAATTTGGTGTTACATTAAGAAAAAATGTAATTATATATTACTAGGGGACACTGTCCCTGATCGCTATACTCGCAAGTTTTGATACTATTTTTCGCTAATATGCATAATATTATGCTCTATTTTGTATTTATCATAAATCTCATTTATATTAAATGAAAAATTTTTAATTTATGTGGATCTATAAGAAAAATAATCTACTATTTTGTTTCATATTAATATATTAAATAGTGATGGATAGAATTCTGATATTTTAAATCGAACCGAACTTTAAATTATTTTTTAGAACTCAAACTGAACCGAACCTTCATATTTTCTACCGAACCGAATCAAATCGAACCTATTATGATTTTAAGTCGAACCCGAACTCGAACTCAATACTTTTTATCATGTACATTGTACCTACCTACAAATGAAATCAACCATAATTATTAATAACTATTGTACTTTAAGTTTTCGTATTATCTATTCTAAATTTTAACATTTAATTCTAAATAATTGTATTATTTACAATACATTTAAATTTTAGATAATTTCTTATTATTATTATTATTTTTCAAAACCAGTATTGTGCTCTCTCGTGTTGTCTTGTAGCTTATAAAATTTTCATTGAGTATTGAGTATTGAGTGTAATATGACAATGCAATCAATACATTTTAATAACATATAAAAAAAAAATAGTAATAATAACTATAATTCACAAATATAAATTGATTATTAGAATTTATAATATATTTATAATATATTTTATATATTTTAATATATAATGTATGAAGTAAGTTGTAAACATGTATTTATTAACACTACAGTCGCGGTATCGGAATATTAACATGAATTTACCCAAAATAGGTTTAACCTCCATAATAAATATGATAAAAACAAAAATAGCTTATTTATGAATGTAGAAACACTACCTCTATTGGCAATAAACTACTTAAAAATCCAAAGAATGAAAACATTCAAAATTAATGTATTTTTCATGAATTACTTGGACTGTTTTTATTTTATTTTCCAAAAAATGAATACATTTTTTAATCTGTATTAATTAAAAAAATCGCAAAACGCTATTGTTAGAAATATAACGGATAAAACTAGTTTTCCCATTCATGATATCGTTGTTAAAACGCTTATAATTTTTACTTTATTTGTTTTACACCCACCATGAGACTATACTTGCCTTTACTTTTTTTCGCATCGCGATATTTTCAATAATTCTACATGGATAACATCGAAAAAAATTCGGAAAAATAAATAATGATATTGTTATTCAACACTGGACATTGAACGAATTAAATAAATTTACGCAGTTTGGTTAACTACAGTACTCCTTGACAATATGTAAACACTAGATTTACGAGACTTAAAGAGACTTCACGAACTCTGTCCGGGACAAAGCGCAGTCGGAGTAGGGTCACTGTGGCTCAATTATGTCCGCACGGCGGTACGTAATGTTGCAGTGTGACCGGGCTCATTCCCGTGGGCTCGTAGACTTATAAAGGAAATGATTACGTTGCAGATAACTGAAGGGAACGAGTTGGCCGACTTAAATGAGAAATGAGGGCTGAACGGTCACAATTGTTCACACAATTTTAGTAATTCAATTAGCCGTGATAGATTGCAGGCCAACCCGGCACTGTGCAATTCTTTACGCAATTACTTGAGGTTTTGCAATTCCAAGTAAACAAGATTTCGGTACGCCACATCTGCACACCTCCTAACGGTCAGATGCAACCTCCCAGTTGCCACTAGGACAGCAACGGCGTACGCGTAGTACATATTCATGTTCCGGTCTCGGCAATGAGCGCTTACTGCGCCGTCCCGTCCTACAGTAATAGGATTCCATTAACACGTTCCCGTTTTCGAGCGCCCGAATTCGATTTGTACCAACCGCCGGGCACTTATTCGAGATTTGCTGCAGGACGCGACGCGTATACCGTGATTTCCAAGTTAACACGCTGTAAATCTGGCCACGTTCGAGGATGTTCACGCGTAACGGTCTGTCCGCGAACTACCCGAAGCCATGACCCCCCCCTCTTGGACGGCTAACCTAACCCAGGATGGTGATTGAACGTCACCACGAACGCTGACCGCACGCCGACGTTCCGGTACGTTTCCGGCGGGCAAGCGATACTGCTTTTCCGAGGCTTTTGTACGTTCGACGACGCGCTACAACCTTCGGCCCTACCCGTTCGGTGCAGCGTAAGGCGCGCGTGCGCGTTCCGAGGGCCGAGTGGGACGATTGAAAGCGCGTGCAGTACTTACCGGCGGCGGACGGCAAACAGACGGGACGCACGGTCTTGCTGGCAAAGACCGGCCGGTCGAGTCGCAGCAGTGCGATATCGTTGTCCAACAGGAACGGATGGAAATGCGAGTGGAACATCACGCGCGACACTTTCCGCACCTGGTGTTCTGTCTCGTTGTCCGCGGTCAGGTCGTAGTCACCCAGGTGTATCGTCAAGTCGTCCATCGGCGTGTTCCTTCTGCGAACATATGGCGAATTACGATAAATAACGTACGCCGTCGATCGCTCTACACGTGCGCGTGACAAGCTTTACTGTGTTACCCGGTTTCTATCCGGAAACTATCGTTAGCGCATCGCGAAAAAAAAATGTACAGCGAAAAAAGCATATTTACGCACACATAAATGTATACTCGAACTATTGATAACTATTTGGTTTCGATGAAAATCGAATAAAATAACATGATACCGAAAATGATTTTAAATGGCGATGGTGAGGCGTGCATACTAAAATATATAGATACTAGTACACTAAGCATAAACTTACGACCCTTTTTTAATTGTGAAATCAAAATCGGGTAATATACACAACCCGCCTTAACCATAGTGTACATAATCTATTTTGTGATCCACTATGTAAATCATGAATAATATGTAAATCGTTACAGTGTCTATGGCCCACGAAGTGACGTGGTATTTGAAAGAGAAAATAATTGTTATAAATATACGATTTCAAATAAGGGTTGGAATCGTATCGAAATGAATCGGTTTTGAAATCGGGACCCTTTGAATATTAAGAATCAAAACCTCGCTGGAACCCTTTTAAGAACTTATTTTAAAACCGGAACCGATACTTTTTTGTAAAGATTTATATATACATATATATCATTAGTAGGTAATAAGAACTAAACAAATATGTATATCTAAATTATTATTATTAGCATTTATAACATTCAAAAATTATCTATCTTCTAAATTCAAACGCCTAAGTAAAAAATATTTCTACGTAACAACTGATAATAATGTAATAGGAATTTTAACAAAAATAATATATACAGGGCCGACGAAAACTTTTGTGGGCCCCGGGGCTGATCAATTCTGGGCCCCTTTATTTCTACTTATTTGACTAATACTTTATTGCTATACTTAATATCTAAGTTTGATGAATTATGAATAAAAAAAAGTATAAAATATGGTATATAAAATCTTAATACTGAAGAAAATAATGTAACCGATTATTTAATAGTAATTAACGAATAATTAGGTTCAATTAAAGTATTCTCTTTCTGGCATTTTTCATAGCAAAGTCGTTAATAACAATATCCAAGTTGGTGGTATAAGCCAGTTCTTTTTCCACCAATAACACTCCTAAGCTCGATAGCCTGTTTTGATATATGGTTGCACGTAAAATATTTTCACTCTTTTTAATACAGAGAAAGAGTGTTCTGCACTTGCTACTATAACAACAATTGTGAAAAATATAAGTAAAATTTACCGTTCTCCAAATGTCGCCTAGGTAGGCCCGGGCCTATGCCTAAATATACCTCTGACAACGGACTCCCCTGTGGTCTGAACCCCGGAGCTCTAGCCTTTCTAAAATGATCAGTATAAAATCCTGTAAATGTGAAGCAGACGTTCTTATATAGTATATTCAACGAGTTTGATTGCTTTCCAACAATTAAATGCTTTTCGGAAGTGGAAGGGGTCGAAATAAATGAGGTTTTCACTGAGGAAATTATTCAGCATCTCACTGGATTGAGTTAAGGATTTAACTATTATTTTCCCAATGACCAACAGGTAAAATATAAAAATGAATTGTGGATTAAAAATCTATTTATTGTCAATACATAACATTCAGCCATATCAATAAAAGAATATGAAACTATTATTGAAATAACATCTATGAAATTCATTAACGCAAAAAAATTGAAATCAATGCCATTAGCAGAATTTTTGTGCAGTTTAAAAGATGAATATCCACAAATGTCACAAAAGACTGTTTTGGGACTTTTACCATTTGTAATCACTTATATGTATGAAATGGGGTTCTCCACCTATGTATCGATAAAAACCAAACACCGCAATAAACTTGATGCCGAAACTAATACGATAATACAACTTGCATCAATAGAGCCAAATTTTAAAAATATTTGTAAAAATAAAAAGCAATTTCATTCGTCTCATTAAAATTTATATTTCTTATTTTTAATTTCGTTATTTTCCACTTTAATAAATATGCTATGTAGTATATTATATTGACGAATAGTTTGTGCGATGACTGCAAAGCTTAACCATCATTCTCTCGTATCTGGTATCTAAGTTACTATTAACATCCAGCTAATCTGATAAAAGTCAGATAAATATCATCAGATTATTGTGCTCATATTATCGATTGATTACATTTGACAACGATTGAAAAAAAACTCAAGCGTTCTCAATTGTGTTACCAAAAATTACGTTCTCAATCGTATTTTACCGATTTTATCGATCCAACCGGGCCAGCCCGACGATTCATTCAACAAAAGAAAACCTTGCATCATTCGACAAATTTTGCTACTATTTTATTAACTATTGTTTGTGTACGTTATTGTTTTTCATATATATATAATAAATGTGTAATATTTTTTGAACGCATTCAGACAGAATTAACTTTTCTGTTTAGTTTGTAACTTTTTGAAAATACTTAACTTGATTAATTAAAAAGTTATAATATGTGTCAAATGAGATTGAAAACTTCACTTCAAAACACTTTAATCTAAATAATTTCAGCATACTAAATAATGCACATATTATTATTAATTTAACTGTGTAGCCATTAATATTGTTTTAACTCATTCCTGTGTTATCGTTTCATTAAAAAAGTTTTATTTGAAAATAAAAATTCAACAATATAAGTCTATTACTTAGTGTATACAACCACTAAAATGTTTTGTAAGAAAATATTAATTGTTTTATAATTATTTTTATAAAATAATTTTAAATTTATTTTATTTCCGTTTATATAAATTGTTAAGAAAGTGTTACAGCTTAAAATGTGAAATTTTAAGTAATAAGTCAGTCAACATTTATTTAAACTCATTACACGAAATATACTATTGGGTATGATTTATTGATTTTCTAAGTCCAGACAATAAGTTAATTTATTATTTTTTATTAGCAAATTAAGTTAAGATAAAAATAGATATATAAAAATAAAAAATGAACTGAAATATATTTGAAGTAAAAATTTGACATTTTCCAATCTGAAAAAGTTTATATATGTTTTATGTGTTATTTTTCATTTCTATTCGTTATTTTTCAAGATAAATATGAATTTGATGTAATAAAACAAATCAAACTTATTTTTGAAATAAATAAAAATGTAACAAATTGTGTTTGCTAGATCTGGGTAACTGTAGCTTTTACATCAATATCACAAATAACTTATTTAAAGGCAACATATATGTCTTATTGAGGTTTATTATGTGCATATATTAACATAATAGTCTGCATAAGTACATGTTACTCTCTGCATACATCAACTACTATATTTATAAATATATATATATATTTATATAGGTACATCAAGGGAAAAGATTTAAATCAAAACAATTTTATATGACATGGTAAAGAATTATAAAATCACAAGGCAACACGAAGGGCTTTTAATATTAAAATAGTCATATAATGTAATCATTCTGTTGAAATGAGTTTCTACAAAACATTTTGAATAATACCACCCGAGCATATACACGTGAGCGTATGCATATATTTTGGTTAAAATTATTGCGTTTATGTATTAATTTTAACTATAAAATACATTTCTTCAGACATATTTACAATACTCCAGCCGATGTTAAATTTAAGTGAAGTCTGTAATTTTAAAAGTAAATAGTAAATAATTTTCAGGCATATAAAATTCTATAGAATATGAAAACATATATTATTATAAAATGTTTTTGCTAAATAATGTTAATTTGGTTTTACAAGTTTCACATACGTAAACCTATGAATAGTGGGATAAGGAATATACACAAAGTATAATAAATTATATATATATGTATGTGTGTATACGTACGACCAACAAGATATAGTTCAAGAGAAATGTTGAGAAAATTAAAGAAATAATAAAATAATAAATATTTATTTAATATATATGATAAAATAGCATACATAATATTTTATATTATACTATTTTTCGGTATAAACTTGTTTACTTAACCCTAAATGTTTAACTTTCGAAATGTAAGTATTGAACTATATTCACAAAAAAATGCTTCAAATCGAAAAACTAGATATTATTAATTATTGATAATGATTCATAAATACTTTGCATTTAATATTTTCAACCAAATACAAGTTTAACTTTTTTTTTTCAGTTATTGCATTTACCATTAAGTATGAAATTATTATTTTAATTTATGATTTATCTTAGTACTATTTTAATTTTTTTTTTTTTTAATAATCCTTAGTGTTAGCTTGACTAATAATATTATCGTAATTTCTTGGGAAAAGTGTTGATTCCATTTACGAAGCATAAGCACATTCAAGTAGTGTACCTACCTATGGATTGAAGCTCATCATAATTACATTAAAATACATTTCAACTTAATTATTTGTTTCAATGGAACTGAAATAAATATACAGTTAATTTTAATCGTAAATTATATTTCTGTTTCAGTTTATAGTATACGTATTTGAAGAAGACAGGTTAGGTATACATGTTGTATATTTAATTTAAAAATTAACAGTCGGTAATTAAACACGGAAATAAACGAATAATTTATGTAAATTATTGATCTCATGTTCATTAGTATTATGTTTATATCTGTGTGTATTTGATCATTAAAATATTATACGCAAACCGTTCATCCATCGAAGATTATATTATATGGTTAAAAGGTATTTATTAGAGAAAGGCCAACAACAGCCTAAAAATAAGAACCCAATAATATATTTACAAGAATTATGATTTGTGATGGCACAACACACATGCAGAATTTATATTAGTATGTTTGGAGTAATGAAAAGATTGAAACCAATCTTATAAAGAAACTATTGTACCTACACGGTGAATCCGAGTAACAGGACTACACATTGAAAATGATATGTGGAACAGGATTAATAGTAGTACAGCTGTATTTAATTATGTAGAATCGTGCAAGTTTATTTTGCTATACTGAAATATTTTCATTTTGGTCGTATTCACTTTAACAGTTTAAATAAAAAGTAAAAGATGGTTGAAAATTGAAATGAACGTCC